GCTTACAAATAGACACGCATAATATCCCTATAACAGATCTAGACAGGTGGTGCTGGAGGAAGTGGAGGGTTTCACAGGGGACTGCATACTTTTTTTGGAAAAGGCCCTTTTGATGCGAGTGAAGCAGCAGACCCAAACTGCAGTACATCTTCAGTGTTATTCATTTGCTGTATATGTAGCTTCATTTTAGACTTGTTCATTCACTAAATGTATAGAATGAGGAGTATAAATTCATGGTGTGTGTGTGTGTGTGTGTGTGTGTGTTTGAGGTTAAGAGCAAGAACGTTGCATACTGTACAAACTCCAGCAGAACAAGAGAGAGGAATTACAGACAGTTTCAGTATGACAGAAGAAGACAGAAGGGAAAACAGAAAATTCTCTGCTGAAGGAATGTGATCTCCAGCTGGTGCTCAGCTCATCACAGATGAGCAGAGGCATAAACTCATACATTTACATCAGTGCTTTGGGGACATGATAATATGAAAAAAAAAGCCATAAGGAATTTGTTTTATTTGTGTTTCAAGCAAACAACTTCTCAAGTTTCAAGGAACTGACCACACTGCACAAAAGTTTAGCATTAAATTTAGAGTTTATAATCCTTGCTCTAGACACTTTAATTTCATAGCAATTTTACAGTACTAGTTGTGCAATCAAAACATGCAAATTTACTGTATGTAGATTTGATGCAACTGTGGTTCGAACATACTATTTAAAAACTATAAATAATTTCTTCTTTGAAATTGGCCATGAAAGTGATTTAGTAGATTTGTGCTGTACAATGATTAGTTGTGTTTGTGCAGTATACAGCAGGGGCCTGCAGTCCACATAAGCTGTGAATGCTCTGCATACCCAAGCCATTTGAATGAGTTCACGGAGTGGCAAATTAATATTATTACATGGCTCCCTGGAATACTCTATTCTGATTGGTCAGTCATGACATTCCGAGGTATGTTATTCCCTGATAACAATCGTCATCATTAGCAATCATTAGGTCATACAGGTATTTGAGACTGGCGCTTCTTTCACATCTCTAATGTCACACTGCAGTGCTCTCTCTTTCTCTCTCTCTCTCTCTTTCTCGTTTCATTTAAACACAATTGCTTTCATCTTGTGCCTCAGTTATTGACTGTATTTACAGTAACATGAAACCGGAGGACTTCATTGTTAATCGTAGGCTTGCATAGTATTGTTAAAAGGGTCATATGATGTTGCTAAAATTAACATTATTTTGTGTATTTGGTGTAATGAAATGTGTTTATGCGGTTTAAAGTTAAAAAAACACATTATTTTCCACATACTGTACATTATTGTTTCTCCTCTATGCCCCACCTTTCTGAAACGTGTTTTTTTACAAAGTTCATCGTTCTGGAAAGCGAGGTGTGCTCTGATTGGCCAGCTATCCAGTGCGTTGTGATTGGCCGAATACCTCAAGCGTGAGACGGAAATGTTACGCCCCTCACTTACTGTTGATGCCGTGTCCGGCCGGAGCGACGAGACATAAACATTAAAACCCATTACAAACGAGGCATTTGTTGCATCCAGTGGGGACATAATTACTGATTATAATGACTTATACTGTCTTTTTACGTGTTGCATTGCATCGTGCCGCGTAAACATAAAACCCTGTCTGTATTTGTGATCAGAGAAATGACAAACAACAAGTGCTACTCTACTGCCCAAATCATCAGTGGCAACGAAAAACACAGCGGCCTAGCGTGCGCTGAGGCCGGTATAGAGTGAGCTGAGGCGGGCTGGACTCCGCTTCGTCCACGGTGAAAGCTGATCCGGTGATCCACAGCACTAAGTTGATGTATTTCCTCAGCGACCAGCATGGATCAGCTCTAGGCATGACGAAGCAGATATCGTCCTCTTTTGGAAGGTCAAACAAAGTAGTTTCGCTTTCACAACGAAGCACACAGCGTCTTCAGGACATGGCTGCAGCGTCAACAATACTACAGCTAGAATAAAAGTTCTTTCTTTGCGTGAACATTTGGGCGGTGTTATGCAAATCTTCCCACATAGTGACGTAGGTATGTGGGGGTGTGTTAGAACGAGCCGTTTTAGGTAGGCGTGGTTAACTCTTAACTTTTATAAAGAATATCTCTTTGGTTTTGAGACTTTAGTGTTTGCAACTTTACAGATCTTCTTTATGCACCAAGAGCTTGTAACACTCCAAAGAGAAAGGAAAAATTGAAATCGCATCATATGACCCCTTTAACAGGATATTTTTTAAAGAAATAAAGTCAGATGATAATGTCAGACTTACCAGAGCAGGATCCAGTTCTTCATTGAGCAAAGCATCATTCTTAATAAAAGCCACTCTCTGAGCAAAACGACAGGTGGATATAGACTCCTGACAAAAGAGAGAGAGAGTGATGTGCAAGAGTGATGTGAAGATTTCAAACAAATGCATTGTCTTTTGTGCACAAAAAAATGTTTAATTTGAGGTTAAGAGATGTACACCAGTGTTCCTCCTCTCCACAGAAACAGCAGCGATCATGGTGGTCATACAGTTACCACCCAAACTGTCTCTAAGCACAGAGGTCATCATGGAATTGCGGTAAGGGATGTGGGATCTATTCTTCTCCGACAGGGCTATGATGACCTAAACCAGACAGCAAATAAAGCCCACCAAATTGTGGCTTCAGTAATATGATTAAAACTCATTTTAAAATAAACAAAGGGTTATATTCAAAATTATTTAAATTAAAATTATTTTTTCAATATATTTCAAATCATAATTTTTGAGTGCACTATGGAAATTTGGGTAAAAATGAACAATTTCATTACTGAGCAAGTACATGGAAAAACTGTGTTCAAAAAGGCATTCTCGCATTACCCCAATTCTCTATAAGCTTAAAATAATGATTTATATTTTGAACAGCTAGATCAGACTTGGCAGGAAATGTAATGTTTACACTGTTTGTCCTTGTATGTTTATATGTACATTATATTCTAGAACAGAAAAAGTCTGGCTACTATGGTGGCACATATGTTACTTGCTCAGAGTCAGATTACATTTTTCATATATGTGCTGATCTGTACTGATATGGTAATCAAAAGCAACTATGAATAAACCTCAAAACCTCAAATTTATCAGCATAAAAGAGCTGAAAGCACAACATAAAACATTTCTGAAAGTAACTTGGAATTCCATGTTTCAACCACATGGTTAGAGAGGGCAAAATTCCATAGTGCACCTTAAAAAACAAATACAACAAAAACCTCTGTAACAAAGAAAGTCCTCTGACCTGCTCCAAGTAGTGCAGAGAGAGGTTAATATATTTTGCTTCTGTTAGGATCTGACCACCCACACCTGTCTTTCCCACTCTTTCAGACCCAGCCAGATCCACCAGGTGCAACTTGGAGCACCGCACCATGGCTGAACCCAGCTCTTTGCTGCACAGGTGAATTGTAAAGATGCAGTGAGACCGTGTAGAAGCCTGGTTCATGGGAGTCTACATAAAGATGGAAACATAGAAAAGAGATGACTTATGAGTCAAATGAACTGCCATTACAGCAAATAACAATAACATGGTCTATTAACATTGAACATATACTGTATGTCTTCAGTAAGTCAAACAATTTTTAAAACTATTAATCCCAATTCTCATATGTTAATAACAGGTATAATCACACATGTTGAAACTCAAGATGATTAACAGCAACAAATAATACTCCCAAACAAAATTTTTGTTAGAGTTACGGAAAAATAGAAAACAGATTTGTCCTTGTATCAACATTTTCTGCCTAACCCAGCATCTGCGTCAAAGTCCAACATGTTTGATTAGTGTCTCGTAAACATGGTGACTTTCGAGTGGTTTATTTTCCGAAGCTAGTAATACACTGTGATGGACAGAGTGAAACATGGAATAACTCATTAGGATACACTTATTAATGAGATGAGTAAAAGATGAGAATGTGAGCTGAAGACCTGAATCTCTTACACTAAGAGCTAGTAAAATATGTTACACATTATCATTCTGCTGTTAAACTCCCAGGTTCTCCAAACAGCTCCTCTCATGCTTCAGATCAGTGCCCTACACTCTGAGAGACTGTCAGGCACCAAGACTCCTTCCAAGACCTGTTCACTCTCCTCAGACTTTGAATCACCCACACATGCATTCACTCAGCTCGCTAACCAGAAATGCTACTAATACTCTCACACACAAACACACACTGTCTAGTCTCACATGTGCACTCTAAAGATAGCTCTGCTGCAATTAGTATTTTTTCTTCCTGCTGTGTTGGAAAACCTACCTCTGGAATAACTATTCATGGACATTTTCGAGTGCTGTACAACTATTTAAGTGAATTCGCAAAGTATCACCCCTGAAGAAGCAAATAAAAGTTAAACATTTAAACATTTTTTTTTTTTACAGATGTAAAATGTAAAAACAGATATATATGATGAATATTTAAACATAGGCAACTAGACCACATCTGGACACAACTTTATCTCAGAACTTTTGTGATAAGTTGCATAATTATGGTTTCTAACACATCAAAAAGTTTAAAAAATAAACAGACTCTCATTTCTTTTCTCAGCTGGACCATTTTTCCCCAATAACACCATTAAGTAAAGTTTAACAGGAGAGATTTCTTGTTTAAAATCAAAATGGACCTCTCATAAAACTGCATGTGGGTGACCACAATGTTTACATTGTGGTCACAGAGTCAGCAATCAGAAACAGCTCCATGGGGTGATTCATACCACAAAGGACTTGCAGTTGTAGTATTGCAAATTTTGAAATATTTGAGACAACATGAATTACAAATTATTTCAAGATGAAAATGCAGATTATGGGTTTTAAGGCTTTGTATTATATGCCTATCCCTACTTTTATTTATTAGTAATTGTATAAGTAAGATGAATGACAATTAGGGGTTGAACGGATCGTAGTTGATCCGTGAACTGTACAGACCAGGACCCACGGTTTGGCACGCATGTGATTTGTGGATTAAATGCAAAATTTAACATCATAGAGTTCAATTTTATCATTTGTATGTGTTTTGTTTTGCTAATTTACACATTCAAGTGATGTTAAACCATGCCAGTGAAAGAACAGGTGAAAGAAAACTCGATTCGGTACTCCTGCTCTTTTTTTCTGTGCACACAGCCACACACACAGAGGCGCGTTTTAGACAGTGCATGAACACAGAGTTGATTCCACTTTCGCATCTCTTTGCATCTTAACAGACACACACAAATAAAATACCCATCTCAGCAATTATCCTTGTAAACGCAGTTGGTTATGTCTTAAGTGAACGAAAACAGCTCAGAAAGAAAGCAGATGTGTATCATTATATTGGATTTGCACATCAGGCCTAAAAGGGATAGCAGCCTATAAATACCTGCTGCTGTCTGTATCGGAGACCTTATTTCGTAATTTTGGCTGCGTTTAGAATTGGCATTAACATGCGATCACTGTGATCCGATCAAGCAGATCGTTTATACTTGGCAACATCAAGTGACTTCTCTATCTGGATAACCGATCGGATCTCTCTTTCCCACGCAATATTTAAATAAGTCTTGCACCGGACGCGAGCGGCGCGACGCAGTGCGACGCAACAAAATACTATAGAACACATTATAATCAGTGATGCTGTCTACACTGGATGCGGCAAATCCCAGACAGTAAACTGTTGCCCCGTTCTGTTTATGACGTATTGACACAAAAGTTCAAATGATTTGCAATGGTCCCTTTGTCGTGTCCAGTGTAAACAGCCTCACGCTGTTGCGGCGTGGCGTGACAACTGCAGGTGCGTGATAATTCAGATATGTGTGAATTCAGGTTCTGTTGTTGCTCTGTTTCCTTCTGACAATTCGGGAGAGAGGGGGCAGGGTTTTGTGTGACGTCAACCTGCGAATGCAGACACGATAGCTGGATTGCATTTACATTACACTGAGATACGATCACAATGCGTCCTCGACCATCTCTGGACCAGGACATGCTGATCGTATAACATTCCGATCAGAAGCGCATTTACACTTGTCTTTTCAATGTGTATGTGGACAACATCCGGCTACAGGTCACATGTTAATGTTAAGTGTAACAAGTTTCAGTTAGCTTAATGCAGTACACGTAGCAAGTTTTTTTTTTAAATAATATAATAAATAAAAAGAAAACCGATAGAATAGAAAAAGAATAGAGCAAGCTAGTGTTAAAGGTCTTTTTGCTTTTGTTAATTGTATAATAAATATAAAGAAAACTGATAGAATACAAAAAGATTAGAAAGCAAGTGTTAGTTTTTTTTTTTTTTTTTTTAAAAAAAAACAAGCAGTTAGTAAATAAATAGAGTGCAAGTCTAAAAG